TTTTTTTTTTTTTTGCAGTTTTTGGCAGGGGCTGGGTTTGAACCCACCACCTCCGGCATATGGGACCAGTGCCCTATTCTTTTGAGCCACAGGTGCCACCCAACACCTGGCTATTTTTTAGAGACGGGGTCTCACTCTGGCTCAGGCTGGTCTCAAACTCAGGTGATCCGCCCACCTTGGGCTCCCAGAGTGCTAAGATTACAGGTGTGAGTCCCCAGCCCAGTCCTAAAAGGAAACTTCAAAACCCCTCTCAGTAATTGATAGAATAAGTAGACAGAAAATCAGTAAAAATATGTAAGACCCAAGCAGACTACCAGTCAACTCAACCTAAATTACATTTATAGAATATTGCACTCCAAAATAGTAAAATATACATATTTTTAAAGTGTACATGGAAGGCTAGGTGTGGTGGCTCACTTCTGTAATACTTGCACTCTGAGAGGCAAGACAGGTAGATTGCCTGAGCTCATGAGTTGGAGACCAGCCTGAATCACAGCCAGACCTGGTCTCTATAAGGGCATTGTTGGGGTACCTGTAGCCCCCACTACTTGGGAGGCTGAAGCAAGGGGATCACTTGAGCCCAAGAGTTACAAAGTGAGACTCTATCTCAAAAAAAATAAAAATAAAATAAATGTGTACATGGAACATTCACCAAGACAGAGCATATCTGGATGATAAAACAAACTTTAACCATTTTAGAAGACATGAAATTAGGCTAGGCACAGTGACTCATGCCTATAATCCTAGCACTTTGGGAGGCCAAGGCAGGAGGACTGCTTGAGCTCAGGAGTTCAAGACCAGCTTGAATACAAGTGAGATCTCATCTCTACTAAAAACAGAAAACTCTAACTGGGAGTTGTAGCAGGTGCCTATAATTCCAGCTACTTTAGAGGCTGAAGCAAGAGGATCACTTAAAACTAAGAGTTTGAGGTTGCTGTGAGGTATGATGACACCACAGCACTCTACCCAGGGTGACAGAGTTGAGACTCTGTCTCAAAAAAGAAAAAAAAAAAAAAAAAAGACTTGAAATCATATAAATTATGAACTCTGACCACCATAGAATTAAACTAGAAATAAATAAGGAGATACCTGAAAAATCCAAAACCATCTCCTATTTAAATAACATACTACTAAATAAATATAAGAAAAATTAGAAAAATTAGAAAACATTTTGAACTGAATGAAAATGAAAGGCTCGGCGCCTATGGCTCAAGTGGCTAAGGCACCAGCCACATACACCTAAGGTGGTGGGTTTGAATCCAGCCCGGGCCCACCAAACAACAATGACGGCTGCAACCAA